AACATTAAAGGTATCGCAAAACCTGACAGGGTGACTACTAACAGTAGAAAAAAGGAGACATTGACGCAACGGTAAAATGTATATAACGCAAGGAGCTTCTGAACATGCAATTAGAATCTCACGAGGGAATCGGAGCCCACCAGCGTGGTTGTCAATAAAGTAGACCAGGATTTGCAGATCTAAAGCTGGGTTTATACCCTGCTCCAGATAATGTATGAGTAGCGTTATTTTTAAGTGAATAAAAAGCACCAGGGGAGCAATCTATCATTTTAGAAAAACGTTTTGACAGAAACCCTGAGTCATGATTATGAAGTTGAGAGTATAGCAAATCCCATCATCAATCATAAAGTATTAACATGATGCGACCCACTGACAGTTTATCTCATGCAGCGAGGGTGAGTATTCGACAAAGTGCAGTGTGGGTTTTTCCTACAAGTGCTAACAGAAAAAAACATAGGCGTATAGAATATAGTGACGACAGGCGCGATCATTCTAGAACGTTTGCACAGAGCTGTGCAAAAGGATCGAGGCCCATCACGTGCACGCAATTGGCCAATAGGAACCCATAAAACCGCCAGCATTGTAGTCTGGCACCGTGGCGGTATCCCGACGTCGTTTTAGATCGGAAATGTCGACCTGTATATAGGCCGAGGTGTTCCAAGTTTGCACAGAGAGTAAACTGTTCTTTCTGGGTTAAAAACCAGCTGGTATATGCATTAGCGCGGTCTTTTCCTTTGAGTTATCCGAACTCGAGCTAGTATGATTAGATTCCGATATCGAACCGGATTACTTTCGCGAATTTGATTTGGCACTGGTGAAAACAATATTAATTTTGTTTTAACTGTTATATTATTTGGACTCATTTCGCTGTGTCTATAATATTGATTGCCAGTTCTCTTTCTTGGCTATAGATATCATGGTGTTAATCAATAAGGAGTGTCAAGTTTACAATATTTGTTTCGAGACGTAGGCCTTAGTACAGTGATGGCTGTATCGGCAAATGTTTTGTTGCGCAACGCCGCCAAAATTTGCTGAGACTGCATGATATGCCTGTTGTATATGAATGTCTTCTTTGTTTTTGTTGTTGCTCTGTTGCTGTTACTTGCGTAATTTTGCTGTTTGGTTTTATTGATCACTTTTGTTGTCACGAGTGGTATCTTGATGTATTCAAAGCCTAGTATACAAGCACAACAATGTAGCATGCAGTGAAGCCTACCCAGCTAGTTGCGTTTAGCAGCTAAATTAAGCGCGTGCATTATCGGACTCGGTGTGACGGGGTTGCGCGATATTGCACGCGGCACCCGGTTTAATCCGCCCCTGCTCAAAAGATTTAATCAAGAAACGAGTAGGTGATGAGATATGATTTGACAGCTTGGAAGCAATAAGTTGTCCGCTTAGATCAACGGGTTTCCCCAGTCGCTGGTTCAAGGCTGCATGAACTGCTGGGGCGTAAATGAAAGGTTTTGATAGGTGCTGGTGGCATACAAACGGTCCGGACATGACCGTTCCATAATTACAAAACAGCCTGACTTTTTTGTTTTGCTACGTATAGTTCACGCCAATGACGTCATCACAGACGTAGAGAGGACTGTAAAGCAGCGGCCATCTTGATTTTACATACACATTTTGAGTGAATTATACACAATATTTACCTAAACAACAACTTAACCATAGAGGGCGTTAAATTGTTGTCAGCTTATAGCGAAGCACCTGGCTACTTTCACAGCAGACGGTGGGAAAATTTCCGCGCCACACACTCCTGAGTTGTAAATATTTAAACAAGCGCAATTTGACCCAATTCGCAAAGGGTGTTTATTGAGTTGTAAATTCATTGAGTCCATGTATGTTTGTCGTGAATTTTGTCTTATTGAGAACACTGAAGGGTGTCCTTTATAGGCCTACTTCCAAACAAAGAGACGTTGGGCCATACAACTCTGTTATAAAACTGTTCGTGTCCCATAAACAGAGTGGCATTCAAAGTCTTTGACAGTATTTGTCATAAACTGGATCCGTATTGTGGCTTTCGTAGTACATGTACATGTATTTGGTAATAATATTGCAGAAGCCATCAACTTTTTGAGTCCGCATGGCTAAAAGATATCGAACGCTGAGTGAGTAGTTCCAACACCCCGTCTGTCTTATCACAACAACCCGGCTATCGACTCGATCGCCGGCCCAGCATCAAAGCCGGGCCCGGCGGATGTCGCTGACGTCCGCCGGATATTTGGGATGATTTATGTCTTTTGAAGTAGAAATATTGCTCGGGCGCTGTGGTCCGGTTCACGATCACAAAAGCCACCGCGGTGTCGAACCAGCCCCGAGGGCGTGGAGGGAGGCTCTGCTTGGCCGAGCAATGTCGCGCAGGGGCTGGGGTCTACATGGCCTGTCACATCGCGTGAACATTACTTGGTGTGAATAAAGGCTGTGTGCCGACTTTGGTCTAGATAGCCTGTATATGCAATTAAACCTGGTACACTTTACACTGAGCTGATTCCGAACAGTATGGCCGTTATTTCGATACTCAATCGGGATATAGAACTACACGAGGTCACATGATCAGTTGTGAGGTCTCGTAATCAGGTGTGAGGTCACATGATCGGATGTCATAAATGGCAAAATAAGAAAGGCTGTACGGAACGCATTGCTGACTGAATAATACCCCATTGACTAAAATTGTTCTATACCTTTGGCAAGGGTCATTGGAAGACCATCACTCTAGTACTAGTTGCTGCGCAGTATAATCCACATCCTCACCAGGCGACTTTTCCAGTTCTCAGTTCAGGGTTTAAACTTTAGTAACATAATATGATTACATATTTAGGACTGCAATCAATAAGATGGGTTAACTGGAACGTGACACACCTAATTAATATGCAAAATAGTTCACCTGGTACCGTTCCAGATGGTACACAGTGGATAGGTCTCTATTCCCCAAGATACTCAATTAGCGCAAACACAATGTAGCCACAAGCACTTGCTATAATAGTTCAGGAGCAAATTTCATGGATGCCGCTATAAGCACAGAAATTCGTCAAGCACAGAAAATATGTGACCCGCTCCACAAAAATGAGTCTGTTGTGGCAAAACTGAAATTTTGAGTTAACTACATTAATAAAATGGGAATGAAAAAAGCTTTCATTTGGTATATCATGGGCCTCTCTAGGACATTTGGTTGCACTATTGTGCCTTTTTTAATTCTGTCAAGTTTTTGAAAAGCAAGAAATGTCTCAATGAAGAAAAAAGGGTTTAAAAATTACAAATACACTGTAACTAACCAAGAAAAGCACCAAAAATCATAAATTTGTTAGTCTTTTTCTTACAATATTTAAATTTCTGTGTAAGATATCTGAACTAAAACTATCAAACAACCAAAATAAAACAAAATCAAAAAATCCAAATTTTGAGCAAATTTTCACTGTTTCCATTTAAAAGTGGTAAAAGCTGGAATTCAAGCTATGCGACATCAGACTCATTTTTGCAGAGCGGGTCACATATTTGCTCAGCACGAACAGGTTACCAGCCAACATGTCATGTAATGCACATTGCTTGTCACTGATTCTCAGCTGATTTGTGCTTACCATACTTCCTGCCAACTGCTTAGCAGCTCCACGAACGCGGCCTCAGGACACAGCCGCGAGGTTCGATACCAAAAGGCACAACAGCCTTCATCACTTATCTTCTGTTGTCAATTCAACTCCCTATGGCTAAAAACAACACAACGGCAGACAATACATAGGAAGACGCTTACCCATCATCGCCTCCCAACCTACTGAATCAATGGCATGTATCTCATCGGACGCTTAATTTCCCTCGGGGTAGTCGACCAGTCAAATCCTCCCCCTCCTTCAAGTTTTCAGCACTCATTATGAAAAAAAAGCTACATGGGCCCTAATGAATTATTGTGGGTGATGACCAGCTATATGCTAGACTTACGACGCGATGACAGGGTGCTGTCCTCACACGGGCGGGCCGGGCGGGCGGTGTTCCCGTTGCGGTTTGCCCTGGCCTTCTACGCCGCTTATCGTACTCTAGGCTCAGTAAATGGTCGCAACTGTGGAAGCTACAATCAACTAATCAACGAGAAGTGGTTGTTATTGCTAGAAGTTCAACACAACAGAATGGAGCTCCAGTGCATCCCCCCCCCCCCGAGAAATCAAGGATCTTGCACTTAATATTTGGTTTTTATCGGTTTATTTTAGAAAAAGAAATTCTCTTTTTTCTCTCTCCAGGGAGTAGTCCCAATTATGTCTTTTGGTGAAAATATTCCTGCTTTAAACAGAAAATCATTGCTGTGTAAGTGTTATAAGACAGGCAACCGCAAGTCCATCTCAAGTTTGTAAAGCTGTTATATGAATCGGATTGACCTGATGGCTTTTGCCATAAGCAGTGGCGCAAGTGACCAAGAACTTTTCTTCAATCTTTAGCCTGTTTCAAGACTCTTGTCTATCCTTTGCGCACTTTGCTAGTGTTCCGACTTATTATATCCAGACTGAGAGTCCCTGTGCACATGGAGACGGTGCAAAGGACCAACGTCTTGAAGCAAGGCCACTGGGTCTAGTTCTGCCCTCTAGAGGCCATTTGATTGAATATTTCCCCCTCTCGATCTCCCCCGCCTAAACGCCCTTCGTTCTTTAAACATATTTCCCACCCACAACCTACCTCAGACCGCACGTATTTTTCCACCCCATCGGCTTGCGTTTCAAACTGTACTTTCAGCCGAGGCATTTGTGACAAATTTCCTCCAGAAATTGTTCACTTAGCTTGCAAGTCCAATGGATTCAAACCTGCAAGATCAACAAGACTGCGCTTTGAGGCATATAGTCTCTACAAGGTCATTAAGTTCCTTTAACTTTGGGAAGTCATTGCTCGGTTGGCGTTGTTTTTCACCGTCAACAAAATCTGTTTTCCCCGTTCCATCAATAATCTTTCTGTGCAGTCCCCGCTGTATGTGGTCGTGTTCATTGCGCTCAATGTGTTTTTTTTCCTCAGAAAATCTTCAGTTGGGCCGGAGTGAAGTTAGTGCGGGTGCTGCATGCGCGTGCCGACTTGTCTTCCGCCGATTAGGTCTACTTCTGTAAGTATCGAATTCTGGATTTCGATTATTTATTTATTAACCACATCCAACAGCGGAAGGACCGCCAATTGCAGGAATGGGATAATTATTGATAATGTACTGAGTACTGTTGCTGTTCGACCTGTACCGAGTGTGATGGCTCTTCGGTTGAAGACGCCTTTTAGAAGTTACAAGTTCAAGATTGGCGCCTTAAATTTTGCCAGCGATACCGGCAATTATATCGTCCAAGGATACTGAATAAAGAATGATGACTTTTGAAATCGAATAAAACCTAGATTAAGTGTTCCCTGTCTTTAATATGGCAAACACAGCAGGCCCTGTCGCCAAGGTTTCTACGCGTGTATGTACGTTTGTCATTATACACGCTAATTAAACGCATCATTTTTTTCTCTTCTTCTTAACTCAGCCATTTTATCTTTCGGGGCCGAATGGGAATAGGCTGGTTAAGTTATGGGGAGGCTTTTGTGCGAACCAGACGGCGCGTGAGATGAACCGTACCCTGATTAAGTTATACCCGTACCCGCCAATTTTTGCCCAGCACAGACATAATGTATCATTCTCCAGATATTCTTAGTCATTAAGGTAAGTAGTGTGCAGACGGCTGATGAGTATCATTAATTCAAGGGTACCATTTAAAGGTCCGATGATTTTTCCCCAGTAATATAAAGGATCTCACAAACTCTCCTCCTTTGATTGTTTAATATTAAACTGCTTTCTCCCAAGGCCCTGTGGTCTCTTGTTTGTTTATGACTATACAGTATCCAGTTAAACACATTTATGGGATTTATTTTAAAGGAGGCTGGTTATTATAGCTGCACGAGGCTGGCAACTGATGAAGCGTAACTAGCTTTCATTTTCTGGCAGAAAATGCAATTACTCTTTTCAAGGTTAACAAGACATTAAACAGGGGAGTTATGAAGATGGTAATTCTGCAGCGGGGGATGGTTTTGTGGATAATCGTATAGTCTGACCGATCGGCCGTCGCCCAGGGTATATTCATTCCGCCCGGCTGAGCTTCGCAATATAAGTTTGGATCAAAAAATTGTGTTGACTACAGGTTTGGCCTTGGAGTGGTTCTGAAGTTTAATTTAAATCCTCTTTAAGATAAAAAGCCAGCGTAGTTTAGGAATAAGACTTATGACTCCAAAATGAATCAGGAGTTTTTGTGGGTCACGATAATCCATTGCCTGTCACGGTGGTGACTCATTGTGGATCATTGTATGATCCAATATAGGTCAAATGACCCAAGGCGGGTTAGATCTTACCTGAGTCATAATGACCTGATTATAGTAATCGATCACTGTAACATTATAGGTCATTATGTGTATACCAATCTCCTATCTCACTGACTGACTGACTCGCTCTTCACTGACTAACCCACTGCCTGTTACCTGTGTCCCGGGCAGTGTTATCGTATAGGATTACCCGTAATGCCAATGGATGGGCAAACTTCGTCCAATTGTGTAGACCAGATGCATGAAAAGACTTTCCTGAATGACCACTCTGAATTAATTGCAAAGAATTCTGTGTGCTCTATTTGTGATTTACTTGGCTTGGCTTGACTTGTGTTGTTTTAGTAATATTGTGTACAAATGGTACCCATCAGGGACTAGACATCTGCATCAAATATTGTCATACCATTGTGATGTATAGAAAACAAAATTCAATGTCCGCTAATTTGTCAAATGATCATATTTTGCTATAAAACTGGGAAACTTCGGGATTTACAATGGCTGACATAAGAGCAAGGTGTATTTTAACTTCTCCCCATTTCCCTCGCACTTTGAGACAAAAGCCCCGGAATCTTTCCCCAAACGATGAAAAACCCCTGTCCATCACTCACAACAATACGGATATGATTTTGCCTTAATGAGAAGAAATTAATGGCAATATCCTACGCACCTGCCTACAGCATTTAGCCTCATCGGATATCTCACTACAGCGTTTCTGAAAGTGACCCTCGAAAAAGTACAAGCGATTCTCCAACGAGCAATACTTCAATTTGGAGTGACGGGCACGGTTAATGTTAGTTTTTACAAGGTACTTTGTGTGTGCTGATGGCAATATGTGACTCGATCGGATCGGCAACTGTTGAATTGCACGTGATTAGCATGCCAGCTGCTTATTATCTTTAAATCTTAAAGGTACATTCATGTCCAGTAGAAATAATATCATACTGGTATAGATGTCTCACTGCGTGCATATTCTTATTCTTGTAGTTGTTGGGATTGACATTTTGACAAATGGTTTTTATGTATTTTTTTCCAAAATCAACTCTCGTCGATGATGCCTCTCCAGGGCGCCCTTTCGTATGATGACGTCATTTTGCCTTTTGTGTTTCAGCGTGGCTCATCACTGTTACACTGATGTTTACATCTCGATGCATGGACATGGTTTTGAAAGGAAGATATCCGATGTGCTTTTTTTCAGGAGAATTTCAAGAAACGAACTCATTGTTACGGACATTTCAAGGCTGAATTGAAAACTTATACAAGTGGTTTATTAATCATGCTTGTTCGCACACAAGAGTGTGATAATGCACATCTATTTAATATAAACACAAGGAAATAACAATTCATTTTGCCCAATTCTGGAAGAGTTGAAGCACTGAACGAAAGACTTCAAACCTTGCTCAATGCCTGATAAGACCAAATCTCCTGAATTTCCGCTCCTCGTACCTTCTCAATCTCCAGAGTAATAATAAAAGTGGTCAGGGTTGCGGGGGAGCCCTTTAATTTGACTAAACACCGCAATAATAATGTACCGCATCACAATATCGCCAGCAACCGGCCTAGCAAGGCTTCACATTGATTTTTTTTCTCTCTCATTCTTTTCACCGAACGTCCTTCCCCCCCCCAAAAAAAATCTACTTGTAATTATTTGCATTGATTTATGGTTTGTAACGGCGGCTTCCCGTTTGTACCGCGGCCTGTACCGCGCCGTCGGAAATTAAAGCGCGCGGAGATGAATGACTGGGTATTGTCGAGTGACTGGGAAGGGGAAGTTCTATACGACCTTGAAAATTACCGGTTCTTTTGGAGAGCTCAAAGGCAAGATATTTTTTGTTCAGGAATTGTATGCCTGTAGGCTAAATTTGGCCACAAACGATTGTGCATGCAGTTGTGGCCCTCTGGCGGATCTCATGGACATTTCAGCGTGATGTGTAATGATCAGCTTTTTGTAAACCGGTTTTAATTTTGGCCTCGCTCGAGGATTATGTTAGCATCAGATGTCATTTGGTGAAAAATGCAAATTAAAAAGAATTTCTCATTTCCTTTGGTTTACGCTTGTGATTTGTGTCGCAAATTTGAAATGCTGCATTTGGATTTGGAGCTTAACTACTTAATTACAATTAACTTGAAATTGAATTTGGAACAAAATACATGAAACAATGATTGCAAAGTGTATACGTTTGATGCATTTCATTAAAAAAAAGAATAATTAATAGTATCCGTTTCATTTCTTCTTTTATCCGACAGTCCTCAATCATTGTAGCAGACATTTATTTAATGTCTGCCATTTTTAATGGCATCACAGATGTGCATGACATTTTAATGATATTTGGTTTTTCCACAAAAATATCATTTATCATAATTAACAGCCCCAAAACACACTACATTGCACACAGGCGCTCTGCCTGCGACAAGATTAATGGCTGCCTTCTGTCGGAACCAATTAATAATGCACATTTGTGCACATTATAAATAGATGTGTCCAATTCGGTTCGGAAAATACTTGGAAGTTTGAAATGCCGTGTAGGATTCTTGTTGATTTGAAATCCTCATTTCAGCTTCACTGGCTTATTATTTATTCATGATTTCAATGAAAAAGGGAAGTATTTTTGCTCCTTGTCGTGTGGTCATCGTGTTGTGGTGAAAATGAATAGCGTTCTTTCGTCCTTTTTTCTGCAGTTTTGGGAAATTAAGTACAAAATCCTGTACAGTATGTCACATTAAGACCTATATTGACGACACCTAATACCTTGATTATGCAACCCAGTGCTATTATTTCTCGGGATCAATTTTGAGGGAAATTCTTAGATTAGTTTGGGGAAAACGCTCAAAATTCCGACCATAGATGCCTTATGAATCAGGAACCATCATCCAAGTTTTAAGCATAATGCATTAACCTGCTGTATCAAACGTTTTTCAAAGAGTCAGGAAACCAGGCAGATGAGTGTAGCCTTAATATAAGTGTTTGTTTTTATTTCAAAACACTCCTGCTACGCCAAAGTGCAAACAACTCTGTTACCATGACAACCGGATCTAACCACTCCATCTTGTCAACAGTAACATAATAGGCAACTTCTCTCTCTCTCTCTTTTCATCCCCAGTTTTGGAAAATTGGTTTCTTTTCAAAAACAATTATCTGGCAATACACTTTTGGGGAATTGGTTTCTGTCAAAAAAAATAATCTGGCAATACAATTTGTCAACAAACAAGAAATTTACAGAATGTTGATTGTAAATACTTCAGATGATGAAGTAGTTGTCAACTTTAAAAAAATAATAATTTAATCGAGTCGTGTGGTGGAAAACGTACAAAACGATAACACAAATCAATTTCGCCGTGTAGTTGATGATCGATCTTAATGAATAATCGTTTAGTCATGCTGACAGATCGATCGATCAATTTCTGAAAAGAGCGAAGTTTTTTTATTTTTTCAATTTCAAACTTGGCACGATGACAACCGATACATCACGACATCGGAATTCGAATCAGGAAGTTAACCCTCTTTCCATCGTTACTGTTCGTGTTAGTTTTGCTGGGGCCAATTCATGCTAAGCACAGACTATAATTTGGTTACCAACCAAAAGATAATGCAATCCATATTAACTCATGACTGGTTCCCAGCTATTTTCTGCTTAGCACATAGAAATGACAAGCAAATGTTTTGCTCAAAGCTCCACAAAATTGTGCCAATGGGTAGATGGACTGGTAAACTTTCAGTATAGAGCAACTTCAGTGGCTCGTGTGCCGAAATTACCTTCTGATGATGTT